CATTTATTACGTCGGTGCATGCATGGTCTGAGTGGTCCAACACAGCGCACTGCAGAGCGATGGGTTACTGATTCGAGTCCGGTCGGGTGGCTTGGAATTTTTTCCTTAAGATTTACTTTTCTTCCTGCCTTTTTATATTATATACATACATATACATATCCGGGGCATGATGGTGGCGGAAATGACAAAAATCAGCCGAGGGTTTCTATATGCTCGCTATTGCAAGAAAACAACTGTGCCTGTTACAGCTGCAAAAAAGTTGTAAAAAAAACTGCCATGCCTGCACGGCATGTGCAGCACAATCACAGTGAAAGCTGTAAGAGCGGGCTTTCAGGCCTTTCAAGCTCAGTTGGAAGGTACCTGCTACGCCATTAATCGTGATAATTTTTGCACTTGCAGGGAAGCATTCACTATGTCATTCTTTGGAGAAGCGTGGTACCCACTACACACTTGAAATTTGTGCAATTTTCCCAATGCTGTGGCAGATGAATTATGCCTGAAGCTTTTCTAATGGGTTGGAGCGTTTAATAACTTACTTGTCTCACAATTCACATTGTGTCACGCCTGGTTGTTCCTTCGCTGTTTTAAAATGCTTTATTATTCATATTCACGAGAATCCTTTGCCGACATCAAGTGCCAGTTTGCAAGGAAGTTTCAAGCACCAGCATGGCTCTGTTATAGAATACTGGGCTGGCATGCAGGGGACTCAGGTTCGAATCCAATTGTGTCCTTGGTGTTTTTTATTTACTTAGTTTTTTTTTTCATAATTTGTGTGATAGTGGTTACGGACACTGGCGACGGACAACTATGGTGCACGTGACCCTTGTGATCTCATAAACAGCTTTCGCAGTAAAAGAAGAAATGCATCATCATGTTGGATGGTGCGGTAAGCTTAGTCTTCTGGTCTGCCACCAAACAAACTACATACGGTCCGTGGCAGCAGGCACCAATGTTTCATAAGCGCAGCTGTGATTTGGAGTAAACTCCACTTGTGCATGGCACTGATGTTCCCATGTGAATGAGACAGATTGTAGCACTATGAAAGAAAAATGTGGAACGTTTTCAGTAATTTGTGCAAGGCAGGGCACAGCAAAGCTGGTCGATGCTCATGTGCTCAGGCTTGCGCCATTCGCCGATATGTTGCAATTGGTTTTTGTTAGTTATTGCTATGTTGCTAGTAGGTTTTGCTATATTACAATTAGGTTTTGCTTCAGTACCGACCATTATCGCTGTGCCAAGCTTTGAGTTGGTGAAAACTTTCCACACATTTTTTTAAAACGAACCACTGAGACAGTGTCAGTGTTCGACCTGTTTTATTCACACAAGCCAAATTAATCTAATAGTAGCTGTCTTCATCCCATTTTTCGTCTCCATTGTACAACACAGGCAGCACTGAAAATTCTTCTAGAAGATTTTCGTCGCCATGTTTTGTACCACTGAAGCACTCCGTGCAGATTCTTGAATGATACTTAAATATGTGTCCTCGGAGTTTACCTTCGGTTTAGTGCAATCCTGACAGTTTAAGCTTTTCTCAATTACCAGTTACTTCTGTCTAGAAATCTTAAGTGGTGTCTGCCACAAATCTCCTGCCTTTTTTTTTTTAGTAGACTAGTATTAGTGAAATTTGCCAAATTTCTGTGGCACACCACCGTTCGCATGACAGTGATAGTTTTTGGATCACAGCAGACATTTTACGCTCAGCTAGAATAGCTAAAGGGAAAGCTGTCACTTTTCAACAAGGTCCATGCAGGGGTGCAACAGCTGAAATAAAATTTGGAGCCATTTTTGGAGCAGCAAAGTGTTACTTTTGGAGCACTAAAACTAAATTTGGAGCAGTATGAAAAAAAAAAAGGATTACGTTTTAGAAAAATATGCACAAACCATCAACATCCCCTAAATTGTGCAGAGTGAATATGTGCACTTCTATTTAAATAAAGGTAGCATTTTGAACCACACCACTCACTAATAAGATAAAGTCCTCATTGTCATGCCTGTCAAGTCTTGTGACAGACTATGAGGATTTGAATGTGGATCTGCCAAGCTGGTGACCTTGAGATTCTGGAGACTCAAAATAGAGGTGTAGGGGTGGCGATAAGTAAACTAGCAGACAGTTTTCTTTGACTTTTTTAGGGCTGTAGAAATGTCATACAGAGCTCCAGATGATTGCCAGTAACTTTTTTTGAACGTCGGCGATAATATTAGTAATTATGCAGCGCATACGCGCATGAGTCTCAACGTGCTGCGAACGCCACCGTTCGCAGCACGTTGAGTTTTTCGCATGCAGTAACAGCGGCCTATGCTTCCAGCTTTAGTTCTTAACAAGCCATAGCCGCGCTTGCCGACTAGAAAATTCATATTTCCCGTGCAGTGTTGCCGGCTATGGCAACGCGTTTTAGGGGCGAAGCTCCTAATAGTGTAGGCTTGTCCTGAAACAGCGTAGTAGCCACCCCTAGTGCTCAGAGTACTCACTAGATGGCACTATTGCACTCGCTTCACTCTGATGCGTGGGAGACGCGTGCTTTAGTGTAGTCTCGGTTGAGCTTAGGCGGACGAACAGAGTAAGCTCATTCATGATTAACTTCATGGATATGGCGTGATTCGCCATATCGAGTGGGAAATGTACGGGGATTAATGATCCCCTGGAGCTTCACCCACTTGCCATCATTCACTTCGTGGATATGCTGTGATTTTTCGTCTTGAAGTTGCGTCGTCCCGCTGATAAATATCCGCTGAGGTCAGCAGACCACCGGGTGCGTGGTGTTACTTCATGTGGTCAATCGCATTTTGCGAGTGTCCTGGCCTAATGAGTATATATATCTTAGAACGTAGTTCCGAATTAGGATCTGCGCACCTGGATCCCCCGATTGATTGATGATGCTAACTACAGGTGGTTAATGTGGCCTCTATTTCTTGCTGAAATTAACTCAACTGAGAACATTTTGAGGTTGGTCGGGCAATTTCGTGCAGCATGTCACAATTTCGGCGAATTTCATGGTTTTGGCGCAGCTTGGTGCAAAAATGGGGAATTGTATCAAATCGACACAATTGGCGCAGCTGTTGCACCCCTGTTGCAATGCGACGAAAACTCTGCTGGTAGTCTTACAGTGAGTGCTTCCAGTACAGAATGCATGCTTTTCTTCTACAGTGAAGGCCAAAAAATAGTAAGGCCCGCTTTATCAGCTGCAGGCGACATAGAAAGCCAGTGTATGACATCAACAGTAAGCTGCGCCACATGTTTAGACTGACTGAAGAACTTGAAGTTCAGCTACGCTTTTTGTACCAGAACACCGGTTTGGCTTTAAAGGGACCGACAACTGCCCAGAACATGAAATGAGATGACTGCACGGATGGAAAGATTGTCCCTTATAGTGACTCAAACCAACCCCCGTTTTTCTCTTAAGAAGTGGATTTTTATTTTTATTTCTTCACTGAAAATAGCGAAAAATGGCCTGTGGCATCTCTGATGGCAAAAACAAACTATCATGAGTGCCATATAACGTGACCATGCGTGAATGTACACGGTCAATAATTTATTGATTAGTACTGAAATATTGTTCGATTCTTTATAGCAAAAGATAATGTTTTATAAAAGTATACGTATAAGATTGCATTAGTAGTACGCATTAAAGTGGCACTGCCTTTACGTGACATATGCGCAGTTCCGTTTTCGATTACTTGGCTTGGTGACGCGGTACAAATGCAGGGAAGCTCTACAGAGCCGCACTGTCTCATTGTAATGGCTTGTTATTTTCAAAAATTGTAGTAAAGCGAAGAATAAATGTGGCTAAGCATAGTTCCAGGAAATCCTGCGAAATAAGAACAGCATGCATAAGCCACCAGAAAGGCTACCGGCATCGCTATCAATACTCAGCGCTGCCGGATGAAAAGGCACTACCGTGTTCAGAGCCTTTCAGATCGAAAAATACTGCTTATAAAATGACTACGAGCTCTTGGGATTAACTACTGCAGCTACGTTGAAGGGTAAGCTTTTTGTCGGGCAGGAAAAAACTGGATCGAAAAAAGTCAGTTGTCGGTCCCTTTAAACGACCGCCGACACCAAATTTGGAAACTCACAATGCTTCTGTTGTGTGAGAGTCCTGCATGCGAGAGCACTTCTGACCAATTATTTGTGACAAGCGTTGCCTATAAGATATTTTAATTTGGTTTTAAAGTAAGAGTGAGCGCTCATCCTAGTTATCGGCTCCAATCGACATCTCTGGTTTTATATTGACAGAGGCCTTCTGGCATGACGTTCCACATGTAAGAATAGCATTGTCGACATCACAAAAAATTTGCGGGGCATGCACAATACCCCGACAAGCACCCGGCGAGGACTATTGTTTGTCGGCCCTCTCGCTTTTTTGTCGGGCTGCTCTCAAGGTCGTTTTGCCTGCTTACAGCAGGAATGCTTTTATTTAGCCGAGGAGCACACACTCAAAGCGCCCACGCCATTTAATAATTCACCGCTCACACCCCTCCACCCCTCCCCCAATTTAAAACAGCTTATTCAGCGTCACTGAAGCTTGAGTGCATGTAGTCTCTGGCACTACCCACTACTGGAGCTAGTTTCTTATGGTATTTAAGCAGGTGTTTTGAACTGATGCAAAAGCATTCTGAATTGAGAAGCTAGCATTAGTTACAAAATGTGTTGGAGCATTTACAATTCAATTTTGGGGTTACCAGACACAAAGCTACAAATTACTCTAAAAAAAGTCGCAAACGAAACTTTTGCTGGCAGTGGTCCTTTGACGTGACAGTGTTCTTCACATTATGAAAGTTCTACGGATACAAAATATGATTCTTGTGTGTCTGCAGATATCCAATGTAAACCATGCTTTTCTCACTAAACCTTGCACCTTCAGTCATTAGAGCAAATGCCGTTTTTAGTAGCAATCATCTCTCGCTCTTCATTATGTGGATGAATGCAATTGTGATCACATTAATATAGCTTCTTAATCTAGTGGCTCACTCATATACACTATGAGGAAAGAAAACATAGCTGATTGTTGACGACGTTTATTTTGTCACGCACAATGTGATGCCCACGAGATTATCACAAAGCACAAAGGCACGCAGGGAAGTGTGCACTAAACATTTAACTGTGAATGAGAAGTGCCAGGTTGTATGTGCCCGGAAGACAGAAAAGGCTGCTTTGACTGCTGGCTGTAACTAATACTGTTTCCATTGCAAAATACATTCATATGTATGACAGCCAAGTGCATAATGACTGCTACAAGCTGCCTGTGCTATTGCAGAGGAGCCTTCTAGAAGTGTTGCGATGTGGAGGAAGGCAAGGAATATACAAACTACACAGATGCAGTCTGATATGTGACCTTGAGTGGCTCCAATTAATAAAATGTGCAAGAAAAACAGTAAAAATAGTTTGTGGGAAAATTAAGGCCACACGAATCATCTTCCGTGTGCTGTCGTGCCCTTGCACTGACGCTTGCCCTAAGTATGTGAGCGCAAGAGTGGGAAGGTAGCAAACAGCCATTGGGGGAGAAGTTTCTTGGTGTATTGCACTGTTGCAAAGAACTTTCACAGAAAGTGTTCTAATAAAGACTAAATCTCTAGAAAATCTTTACAAACATATAGCTCAGCATCCATTTGAGAGTAAGGAAAACTCATGTTTATATATAGTGTATAATTTAGTAAACGTTTGCTTACACTATCTAATGTAGTTGAAAGATTAAGTAGCTGAGTAACTGTTAATGAAAAAAATTATATATAGATATATTCCGCAATTTGGTGCAAGCAGTGCTACTTCAAGCAATATTTACGTGCCAGCCTCACTAGATCCAATAGCTATAGAAGCGTTAATAAAGTTCAAGAGTTGTTCCATAACTGCAAAGATATGATAGGAAAGGAAGAAGCAACCTTTAGCTGCTTGCTGCCCCTCGTTCATGTTACTCAAATGTCAGAAAAAAATATTGCTGTTGTATACATAAAATATATACAATAGGCACGAGCAGACTCTAGGCAGCAGTCATACTGGTACAATGAAGAGCAACATTCTAAGCTCTTTAGTATGCTGTACTCATGCCCTGATAAGTGGCTGACTACCAATAAACAGCCTTTGGAAACAATCCAAAGGGATCAAGAGAAAGACAAACAGAAACAAAGTTGTGAAGCTCCAGCGCATCTGACAAAACCATTTAAAATGCATGAACATACACAAACAGCTGAAAATAACCAGCAGTAACACCAAATATCACAGCAATAACATGAAAACAAAAATGATAAGTTTAAGAACAAAAAGCACTGTGTTCTTGGAAAAAAGTTCCTCACACTGAAATGAAAAATTCTGCTTATAAAGAGCCTTCAAATTCGTAGAACTATAGAGAGTATAATAATAAAGGAGTTGGAGCTACCAAACAGCAATAGTGTAAAATAAGGGCTTAAGAGGCACTCGAGTGCTGGCAAAAGGCCCCGCCTTCTTAATGTGTAACCAGACTTCAAGTTTTGTTCAGGATGAGCAAACATATTCACAAGAAACTGTAATACCTTCAGTTTGTTAACAGAAGCTCTCATTTATCCTGATAAGCATTAGTAATGGGGCAGGTGGTGGTAGAGTACAGTTCTGGAATGCCTCAAGTCCTGCTATTGTTCGATGTACCATTTTCTCACACAGTCAAAATACCGATGACAATGTGAAATGAGCATTGAATTTGTTGCTCTGGTCTGAAACCAGGCCAGTAATTAAGAGCAAAAAAAGTCGTTAAAATGGTGACGATTAAGAGAAACAGTAAACTCTATGTACAAAAAACATCACAAGATTAAAAAAGAAAAGCAAAGTTGCACTGACATATTTTGAAATAGAGCAATGCAAAACAAACTCTCAAATGTAAGAATGTGCACAGTATGTTACAGCATGAAATAGTAAAGAGTGGTGAATTTTGCAGATTTCAAACAGTTCCCTGCTATGTTCCCATAGGCCACAGAGTTCTAACAAAAAACAATGGCCAAGAAAAATAGACAGTGAAACATATATATAAACCTGGCCCTTAAATTTTGTAGAAAGGTGTTTTCCATTAAGTTTAATCTGGCCACATTAAAAGAACAACACATGAAAGCCATTATTGCCTATTCTTAATATAGAATACCCCTCATGGCTTCTTACCATAAGGTGCACCACTGCTAAGTAAGGATGCTCAACTTCCTGGTGATTGAGTGAAGAAGTTATACGCATGAAGTTTGATTTCCATATTATATAAAAATACAATACTCATTGGCACATGCCATTTAGTACATGCTTTTAGAGCCTAGAAGGCACTAGAGTGAACATCAAAGTATGCTGAAATGACAGGAACATTGCATGATGCCATGCTTCAATTCTTTTAGACATTGCAGCCGACTGCAGTAAATAACTCGCCACAGTTTTGTAAGTGCCTTGCTTTCACAAAGCTTAACAGCAGTAAAAAATTGCTCTCACATTTTTTTTTTCCCAGGCACTTTTTCACCCAAAGTCACAAAGACTTCTGGTAAGTAATTTCACATTAAACTGAGGTCCTTAGCTGACTTGATGTTTTACAATAGCATGACATTACCATGTGTTGCTTAAGTTTGTAGTGATGGTGCTATAGGTGTACTTTCATTCAGAGAAATGCAAGCAGACCTTTCTGTACAGCAAAAACTAGTTCACGTGCCACTTGGCAACTTCAACTTGAGCTGAAAGGGTTTACGGGACTTTTTGGAGCTGACAGGAGAGGCTGGCTCACTCTTCTTTTGGCGAAGGATGAAATTCAGGGCATGAGCTGTGCTGAGTGCATAGAAGACATTGGCTGAAGGTGGAAAAACTATTTCTGAAAAGTAAAACATTGCAGAAATAAGTGCTGGAACACAACAGGATGAATTATATTGTAACATGGCACTGCTGTTCAGCATGCAGGTCCAAGAGAGTCCCTTTTTTAATAGGATAGTAAAGGTGGATTTGCATGAAGGCACTCTCGATCCCCACATCACGTATAACACACTAAAGGGGACGGAGGGGAACATAATTGAAAAGTGAACAGGTCCTTGACAGAAATAAGTAAAAGACAACTGGAGGATTTGTAAGGCAAAGAGAGAGGAAAGACACAAGCAAAATCGCATTAAAGCCAATGTTACTCAAATGTAAAACACTGAGAGTTAAGCTATCGATTTAGAGTTTTTTAGTAACGCAAGCGCTGAGTGACACTTCTTGGTATCTTCAGACTACCCTGTCTAACATCAATGTGCATCGTCCCAACATATTGATAAAAATCAGAATATATAATTGTTGCAGTTATACATCCCAAAATTACAATATGGTTACGAAAGATGCCATAATGGAGAGCTCTGAGAATTTTGACTATCAGTTCTTCAACGTGCATAAATATCACACAGTCAATGGGCCTCTACATGGGCTTGTAGCATTTTGCCTTCATCGAAATACAACTGCTGCAGCCGGGACTGAACCCGCAACCTTTGGGTCAGCAGCCGAGCACCATAACTGCAACACCATCACAGCAGACATTGATAATAAAAACGCGTGTAAAAGTGATAAAATTGGTTAAGCCTTAGTCCCTCAATATTTTTACTTGTCACAGAACTTCTTCGTCACTCTATGGGAAAACTTTGCGTGCTGCCAACTTTGACCGCAGCACAGTGGCACCGGTGCTGAAGGCGTTGTTCGAGGCCACAGAGAAGACGGCATGGTGAGTGTGTGTGCTCTGCTGGCATCATGTTTTATTGCAAGTATGTGGCACTGTCTGTGCCTTTTATCATTTTTAAATGCTACGAATAGTTAGCGGCAGTTTGACAAACGATGCCAAACACATGCTGTGTGCCGCACTGTCGCTGTGGCTAAGAAGGCGCTTGTCAAGGCCTGTGAGACGATGGCATGATGTGTTGGCTGTGTTGGCATCTTATTTATGCCGAGTGTATGTTGCTGTGTGTGCGTGTTGCCATTTTTGAATGTTCCAAATAGTTAGCAGCAGCTTGACAAACAATGCCAAAGACACTGCGTACCACACTGTCGCTCTGGCTACAGAGGATTCGTCAAAAAAAGTGTTGTTCTCGTTTCCAAGTGACCCCCAAGGACGAGAGGAGTGAAAACGGGTGGTACCACGTAAAAAAACAAGTATATTTTCGTTTGATTCACTAAACGATTGCGTATGCAAAAACTATTTGAATAAGGAGGACATTATTTGTCAAAACGAGTGCATTAATAAAGGCACCGTTGGTAAATTGCTGCGTAAAAAAGCAAAGGAATGCATGTCAAAGGAATTGAAACCTCGGTGCTTGCCACACAAGCAGCCCGTCAAGCTTCCTAAGGAGTCATGCAAAGATGCCACTGGGGGGGAAAATTATGTGCATGGATGGCTTCGATAAAATGGATGCAGTAAATGATGGTAAATATTACAGTTTTGCACGGCTGCTTACTCATTGCATATTCTGGAAAATCTATCTGCATTCAACTTGAACCTTACTATACATTTTTACAGTGATAGTTGTTTGCTTGTGTTAATCAATTCTTCTCTGTTTGTTCTCATAATCGCTGTTTCTGATGTATTTTGCGAGCTTGTAATCATGCATATTTATTTATTGTTCTGCACCTGTATGTATGCCTTATTCGATCTCTGTTTTGAAAATAAAATGCTCACAGCCTCAAATGAGTTAAGTGTAATGAAAATGTAAAATATTGAAAGCCTGCTGGTTTTTACTACATTGCTAAGCATTTTCAATCGTTCTTGGATGAATCAGCTGCTTAGGACCCTTGTTTGACTTTCATTCATGTTGTAGAGCATGGCTATAAAAATGGATAAACCATTCGTTTGGCCCGCGTGCACACGCACGCACGCACGCACGCGCACGCACACGCACGCACACACACACACACACACACACACACACACACACACACCACACACACACACCTGCTACCATATAAGCTCTTCAACAAACCCGTAAGCCTTAGTACACGTGTTTTCGTGCCTTGTCTCTTTCGAAATGAGAGAGCTGTGACCAGGCATGATTAGCAGCTCAACTTAGTTACTAAGCGACAGAGGTAAGTATGAGAGCAATTATATCAGGGTTTTCGCCTGTGTGTAGGTTTTATTACAAAATTCTTGTGATATTCATAGTCTTGGGCATGCAGTCTGCCCAAGCAAAACTCAGCAATACGTGAGCAATCTACCATTTTCCCCACAATGCCATGTTTTTTAAGCCAAGCATCTATGCCACACTGTAGGGCACTGCAAAGGAACTTTACTGGGGGGAAGAGGTTTTTTTTTTATTTCTTGACCAAATTCAATGAAAACTGTAACAAAGACAGTTTTTCAAGCTGATTAAAAATATATACAATTGCCTTTTAAATTGGCTGGGTGGTTGCAGAGATAATTAAAATTAAATCTATATTGTTTATCACAACAATGGCAAAATGAATATTGGCCAGAATATTAATATTGACATATGGCTTGAACACAAATGTAGGATTACTTAATATTACAGGTATTAACAATTTTATAGCAATTTGAAGTTCACAATCTCCAGATAGTTAGTACCAAAAATAAAAATTTACAAAGGCTGGATTGAAAAACCTGTTCCTACATTTGCATAGCAGACACATGTAGCTACATGCCAAAACAAGAATTGTGGCTCTATGAGCCCTGGAGACCAAGATACCGCTTTGGAAAGTTTTAAAAACATCAAAAATGAGATTGAGAAAATGCCAAAAAACAAAATAGGCTCATATTTAATACATAACATCATAAATTATTTACAATATTCACAAATGGTACGACATCATTAGCCTCCAGGAATATAGTCTGTCTATTTAGAGTCATCTCGGTGATGTTTTCTTAGCACACGCTGCAAGTTTTCAGCATAAGCATGCTTGCGTGTGCATGCTTCAGCACGGTGGCGGTCTTTTTCACTCATGCGCTTGGTCAACTGTTGGCCAGGGTTTAGCTGTAGTTCTTGAAGTATGGCTGTAGAAGCTTTTTCATTTCCAGAATTGAATTTCATTACAGCCTCTGCCAAAGCAACTTGTACAGCAAACAATGATGCATGTTTCTCCTTCGGCACCAGTGCCCAAATCATTGAGTTGAGACACTTGTTATTTTCGGTTTTCCCTCTTAGTCATCACCGAAGAAGTGATTCGTCAGACAAACGTCTATAGACTAGAACAAGCACCAGACATACATGGGGTGACAGATTGTGGTGGTGTTTTGGAGCAGGCTCAACTTTGGCCTTTGCTGCGTTTTGGCAGCACCATGAATATGGGCCCTCTGGACAGAGAGTGTGGTTTGAAGTGACATCGTTTGAGGTGATGTGGTAGTATGTGGCAATGACTGCTTTTTGCATGGCCTTGACATCAACTTTGTGTGATTTTAAGGCCCAGCCATAGTAGCTGCTGAGCTTGGTGATAAGTTCACCGGTCAGTTTTCTTTTCCCACCTAGACTCTTTGTACCAGAGGACTTCTGCTTAGAAACTAGACTTCACAGTGTTGTGCCCATTCTCTTGTGTATGTGGTTAATACAATCTTCCTAGTCCAGAGGTATGCATCCATACACTTTTGCATCTTGAAGAGCAAAGAAAGCGGGACTGTCGCCATCCAACAACAAGGTCGTGTACAGCAACCGCAAGGACTATACCTCAATTGGTTCCCACCAGCTCCACTGTTTCTTTGGCATTGGGCATATATGGGTGCAAGATGCCCCAATTTTCTTTTCCAAAAAAAAAAAAAGTGGTTCCCGAAGAGTATGTACTGTGAAGATTTTGTTTGCATCAAGCCACAACCGCCACAAAGAGCTGCTTTGGAAACTAAGGGATGCGGCCTCGGTGATACGCGTGAGGACTCCTTGATTTTTCTCATATACTTTGCGGTACAGCGTACGGTTAGTATGATGGCTAGAATGCCGCAGCAACAATTTCCTGTAGGCAGATTAAGCCTTTCGAAGTACATCATTTTAATGAATAGGACGTGACAATGCCATTTACTTCACTTTAATAAATTAATAAGCGTGAGCTACCCTTCCTGCTGGCAGGGATCCACACTTTCAGCCAATACGGCAGGCATGTGCGGTTCATAGATGTCAGATGACGACTTTCAGTGGTGGGTGCACAGCTGAAAATTTTGCGCACTAACTATTTCGAATCCTCAGGTTGTCATGCACTTTTGAAGTTCAGGACAAAAGATCCTTCGATGGCCGAGCTCGCTTCGAAGCGCTGCTGCGGCGTGCACTTTCCTGATTTGTCTACAGAAATTTATTTTTGTCATTTTGCTGGTACAGTCGAACCCACATATAACGGCCCCACTTAAAATGAACTTTTGCTTAAAACGAACAATATCCCAGTGACTGTGAAAATATATTGTTTCAATGACACAAAAATGCACTTACAACCAACATCTCCGAGCGCCGCTGATCGGTTACAGCGAACAGAGTCGGCGCTCTGCAGACTTCCCGGGAAACCACTTTTGACCACGGATGAGGCATCGGCGAGGTGCTCATAGATTCTTATTGTTGAACGCCGACCCTGCCTCTGCACTTTTCTAGTTTCCGCTCTCCCCGACCGCTTTTTGTTAAGCACCCTTCCGTCCATTGTTCCCCCCGCTACTCTCAGCACCACGCATTGCCAGATGCGGCCCATGTTTTCACACTCCCACCCATCTTTCAAAGACCGGTTGGCCATCTCCCTTGTTTTTGATCGCTGGTACAGTTGTTGACATCGCCGGCCTCGAGTCACCAGAGCATTTGCCAACATCGTCTGTATCGGATCGTCTGAGTCTTTTTTTATCGTATCGTTCTAGCGCACGGACAACGTACGCTACCCCACCCA